GATATCTGCTTCATGCGATTGGCAATTGGTGGAGAGATTTCACAAAACTTCATCAACGAGAGCTTCTTGGACTCTAATTTGCTCTTGAGTAAGGATGGAATAATAGGCAAAACCTCTCTGCTTCTATTTGTAACCTCTTTATCTAGGAGGCCAGAAGGATCAACAGAGATAATGGTATCACAGGACTTGTCACTCCCAGGGTAAAATGCTGGATCACTAGAGAAACCAGGAGAGGAGAGATCTTGATCCAGTGTTCCTGTAGATTGGAATCTCAGCTTGGTGGAATTATTAACTTTCCTCTCATTGCCTAAGCTTCTTCCCCCGGGCGAGCTCGAGGAAGATTTCTGAAAGAAAGAAAAAAGTTAAAATGTACAACTCTGCCTAAAGTTCACATCACTTGAAAACTGGAGAACACATCCATAATAATAAATATATTTAATAGTTAGATTATTAAATTATAGTTAAATTAAATTAAATTATAAGTTAAAATAAAATAAAATACATTTCTTAATATAAAAGCATACCCTTGTCTTCCTTTTCTGCCTTCGCATTCGAGACACAGTCTGCATTGTACAGAGGCTTTCTGTAATGTCTTCAGATGAGGTGGATATATGGGCAATAATTGTTGTGGAGCAGTTGACATTGCTCAGAGAGTCTTGCAGGAGCATGGCTAATTTACTTTCCCTGTTTTGAACAAATTATAACTGGTAATTAAATGTAGCTACTTAAATACATTTTACTTCATTAAATCACTCTGCTTTATATTAGTGAATTCCTACTTTTATAATTGAGATATACACAAACGTACCTATTAGGGACATGTTTATGTCTGTTGAGATTGGCTGTGATAAAGTTTCCAAGCTCAGCAAGGCAAACTCCACAGTTGCTTTCACCCCTCTCCCCCACACAGCTCCCTAAATCGATCAGGCTCAGCTTGCTTTGATCCACATTCACTGAGGAAAATATATATTTAATTAATACAAGAAATTAAACAAATAATATTAAAGAAGCACCGAATGTTATGAAAAAGATCATATCATGAATGCAAACCAATCTATTTTATTATGCTGAAAATAGAAAAAAGTATACAATTTCACTCTCCTGGGTCAGTATCGCATGAGAAATGTTATCCAATAGGCCTTTGTTTATCAAGTCGAGTTTATCAAGATCTGTACTGAGAATCTGCACATGAACATACATATTATTGAACAACATATTAGAGACATGAAAACGCAACTGAACTCACTCCCAGACTTGGTGCTGCTCCCTATGTGCTGTTGGCGAACATGCAGGGTGAAGAACATGTGACAACAGTGTAGCGGTCTCCCTCCACTGCCCAACGTCCCACTGCGAGATGCAATAGCTGCATCTAATAGAAAAGCTGCTCTTTCTGGGGTTGGAGCATTTAGCACACTGTGGTTGCAGAGCTGGAATCAAGATAACACAATCCAATAAGGAGACTCTCAAGTAAATGGGAATGTCTCAATTAACATATCAATGAGTATGAATTAAATTTGTATTGATTGCTCATGAATATTGATAATATGCCATGCAAAGGGTTATAGACTTCATGCAAAATGTTTTTAAAGGAATATCACGGGTACAAGTTTAGCTCAATCAACAGCATTTGTAGCATAATGCTGATTACCACAAAAATGATTTGCACTTGTCCTCTTTTCTTCATAAAAAGCACAAATCTGGGTTACGTTGAGGCACTTACAATGGAAGTGAATGGGGCCAATCCACAAACATCAAAATACTCCCTTTTTGAATAGTATAAGCACAAGAAGCAAACAATATACTTTGTATTACATCCAATTTAAGAATGTAAGAATTATGCTTTAAAAAGAGCAAGTGCCTCCCTTTACTTCCATTATAAGTGAAGTGCCTTATATTTTTAAAGTAATAATCAACATTATGCCATAAATGCTGTCGATTGCACTTAACTTAACACTTAACCCTGAATATTCCTTTAAATGCTACATATGAGCACTCGCTTGAGGCTTTTCCATCATCCAACTAACATTATAGGGAATTTTTCCATGCAATTGTGCCCTCAGATTATCAGGGACTATTTTTTGCAAAGCTGCTTTGGAACAATATGCATTGTGAAAAGTGCTGCACAAATAAGTAGAAGGTAAAATGAAATGAATTGCCTGTATTCCACAGACATGGTCCTCTTTGAGGAAAGCATCTGGCTTATAGGTCTCCTTGCAGTTGCTTGTGTCAACATCAGAGAGTAAATCCCTAATGGCATTGTTTTCCCCACAGACCTCTACAGCTGACACGGAAACTGAGATGTTTGCCCATGTCTTGTCTTTCTTCCTGTTAATGAGCTTGAAAAGCCAAGAGATAGCACATGGAATGACACCAAGGCTTTGAGTACAACCATCATGACCAATCATGGTGTAAGACATTCCTGTAAAAAGATAAAAAGAGAGTGAGAATGCCATTTTTCATTACAGACCATCATTAGACAGAAAAGCCCCCCATAAGGGTTTTGCTAAATAAATCATCATTTGGAATGACAAAAAGCCACAGCTTGCAATATGCTTAAATATATGGTGAATGACTTTACAAACTGGGGTGTAAAATGCGTTGTGGCAATGTCATGACCAATTAAATGTAAAGCACTTTACTGGCAGTCAAGCATGGGCCGGTTTAAAAGATTTATGATGTCTGGCTGGGAGCCAAGGGCCAACATGGAGGCCGGGTAATTCAATCTAGCTAATAGAGAATGATGTCATACTCCAAATGCCATGTAGAGATTGTTCTCATGATTTTAGGAGGATAACAATTAATAACCTTAAAGGTAAATTACCGTGATGACCTACTGTGTAGCCTCTATGCCATCTCTTGAAGGAACAATATTTAATGCACATTCATTGAGAGGCCCCACAAGTCACAAGAAGTGACAAAAACATTTGAATCTAAACCTTTCTGCCCCAACACCATAGGACGCGGAGCTATGGAAGCCCATTTCTGCCCCAGAGTAAAAAATTAAAAGGTAATTGTGAAATAAGACAGTCATTCTGCAGCATATAGTCGCAGAGTTGCATTATGAAGATGCAAATATGAGAAAGGTCACGATCGTGAGATTTATCGTCACATAGTGAGATGTATAAATTTGCAATCTGAATAAATTTTTTTTTTAGTGTGAGAAATAGTCACATTTACTATGAGTAAAAAACCTCTACAATTAAAACTACAGAGCGTTGATCACAAAACTTAGCACTTAAATATTATTCAACTAAAACATTATTGGGAGATAAAGTGACAACTGATATGTATATGCATTTTATGTAAGCAGCCTGTTATACTGTAATTACAAGCTATCACAATTTCTTTCTGGCCATTTAAATAACAACAGCACCAAATTGCATATTTTCGCTCAGTTTGAGCGGTCTGACCTACTTGTCATTATATCATACTATTTGGGTCATAAAGGCCTGCATAAAACATAAAACACATTTGCAATTTTTTTATTTGTTAGATTTTCTTATATATACACTTACATATGTTTTGTCTTAAGGTTCAATAAAAGGTTCCATTTAAAAAGTAAATCTTATTTTTCTGACCATTTCCTATACGCCAGGCTTTACAGGGTAAAAAAGATTTTAATATAACTCACTTACCCACACTGGTTTGACCAAAGGTTAGGATGCAACCATCAGCCCCTGCAACCACACACTGAAGCACCTCACACAAGCTGTTCTCACAAACTTCAGCCTGAAATATAATCAACTTTTTTTATTTTTATTTTTTATGACAACACTGTTTAATCAATTGACAGTTGAACTAAACAGACATTTCAAGGACCTTTTCCCGGGATTTGGCATTATTTAGTCAAAATGCATTTAATACATAGAGAAATCAGCTCAATTGATTATACTGGTGAAGAATATCCAGATATTGAATATCTGCACTCAAGTGACCAAATCTGAAAGTGTTGCAGACGTTTGGATATTATGACTCAGATGGGCTCCAGACATTAGACAGATCAGTTTTCATATCATGAGACAGAAATAACAAAGCAGTGGCCCTGACCTGGGTTGAATCGTGGCCAAAGGCAGCATCAAAGGTGAAGGTCTTTGAGGAGACTGTAGTGCCAGCAGTCTGTCTCTGAGGGGTGAGGGTGGGTACATTCAGCAATGTGATCTGTTTCTTGTGCAGGTCCAGTTTGAAAGAGTAGGACTGGGAGGGATCTGACTCAGGAACCGAACAGACTCGCAGCATCACTTTGACCTAAAATTGGGGGGAAAACACAAAACAATATACTAATTAGATATTACATAATATAAATCTAGGATGTTTTTAAATCTACATTTAAAAAGTGCTCAATCCCATAAGGCAAAAATACATATTGTCAGATATATATTTTTAAATATAAAAAATGGCCAAAATATATTTTGCTAATAGTTCTTTTTAAAAATAAGTTTAAGTTACTTATATATAATTATATATATATATTATATATAATCTAATTATACATATTTTGGCCATCAATATACATTTATATGTCCAAAATATATTTTTTAAATAAATTTTGCACATTACCCAAAATGTATTTTAAGACTGAAAATGTATATTTGCTCCTTAAAGTACTTTTTGTAATATATTTAGCATTTGAATGTTTACATAATAATTAGTGATGTCAAATCGATTAAACACGATTAATCGCATCTAACATAAAAGTTTTTTGTTTACATGTGTGTAAATATATATTATAATATTTATATATAATTAAATATAGTGTGTGTGCACACACACACATATATATAATATATATTAATATAATAATATATATATATATAAACATTATTACTTATGAAGTCCTAAACCAGAGAATAAGACAGCTTAAACCACTGCGGTCAACATCAAAATCATCAGTGCGATACTTTTACTGAGACAAAAATGTCCTTGTTCCTGAAACTATAACTATAACAGTAATATTTAAGACATAAAATATTCCAATTTTTAAAGCATGATGTCATTGAACACACAACTAAACCGAGTTTTGGTTAATGCTTTGTCTGATATCGAATGCATTTGTCTAGTGATATTATCTTCTCTGTTCTGAGTCTGTCAAATCATATTTACACGAAATGAATTATTTAAGAACCCATTATCTCTGCTACAGTTGCTGGATGTGCAAAGCTGAGTGCGATCTTTCTACCAGGTGCTACCCTGAGAGCGATAATTTGAAACTCAAGATGAGTCCCATCAGTGTGAACTGTGAAGAGTGAAGTCAGGATGAGCTACAATTAAACTAAATTGATTTCCCTTCCTCAAGGAGGTGGTGTGATGGAATGGGAGGGCCATTAACATCACGTTCAAAGGTCTTCTCTAAAATGTGAGGCATCTAGAGATCAGCCACATCCCAAGGTCAGACTGAAGGACATCTAAACCATCTGTAAGTAAGGGACATTTGTCCTCATTCAGAAAGTTGTAGACAAAGACACATGTGTTTAAAGTAGGCTAATAGAAGCTGTTTCATTTACAAGGAGCTCATGGGGGCTGCCATATTAACATCACATGACCAGCCAAATACTACTAGTTTCATCTTGGTAACACTGTTATTGTACACCTTTGCTCACAGAATAAATAAATAATGCGTGCATGGGAACAGGACATTTTTACCATGGAAGCTGTATTCCGTCACTAAGGGGAAAAAAAGTTACACTTTTTCAAAAGGTTTGTGGTCAGTAAGATGTTTATACTTTATACTATTTAATACTTTTATTCAGCAAGGATGCATTACATTGATCAAAAGTGACAGTAAAGACGTTTAGAATGTTACAAAAGCTTTTCCTTTGCACTTTTTATTCAAATATTAGAAGAGCATTTTAGAAGAGACTTCAAGAGAGACTTACAAGAGACTGATAAGAGACTTCGTTCAAAAAGCATTAAAAAATCTTTCCACAGTAGTGTAAATTTGACTTTATTTCTCACAACTGTAATTGTCCGGTAACACTTAGGGTCCAATTCTCACTATTAACCAGTTGCTTATTAGCATGCATATTACTAGGATATTGGCTGTTTATTAGAACTTATATAGAACATATTAATGCCTTATTCTGCACGACCATTTTCTACCTCCCCTAAACCTACCCAATACTTAAACTAAAACTACTTTACTAACTATTAATAAGTAGTAATTATGAGTTTATTGAGGCAAAAGTCATAGTTAATAGTTAATTAATAGTAAGAATTGGACCCTAATCTAAAGTGTGACCAATTGTTTTTCTCAAAAATTTTAGACTTTATATCTCATAATGTGACATAATATCTCACAATGCAACTTTACATCTCACAAAAATTTCTTTATTTCTTGTAGTGTGTTCTTACTTTTACTTTAAACGTACAAACGTTTAAACTCATTTTTACTCTCAGGTAGAACACAGGCTTTCATATTTATACAATCAGTAAAAATCATAAAATAAACAATATTACTACATAAAATTGCTATTATATTATTGTCTCTGATTTATTAGCAAATGAACAGCTACGATAATCTAACAATGCAATATTACGTAATAACAGAAGCACCCATAAGTTTTGGTATTTTTTAGTAGCAAAATTAAACAATTAACATTTGTAGTAAACATTTCAGCCATACCTTCCCCATCCCAGGTGTTTCCTTGCTCTTACTAGCAGGTTGAAAAATGTTGGCAGGTACTGGAGGAGGAGACTTCTGCATGAGGCTACTGAAGTTTGTCAGCTGTTGGGAAGCACCACTTTCTGAGAACTGCCTCCCTCTTCTAACCATTACATTCAGCTTTTGTGCAGCCCTGTGGATGTTCAAAGATTTGACAGAGTTTAGCTTAGATGTGATTTCTACAAATCACACCTTTACCAAATCACAGTTTATTTTTTTATTTTCTGGTCTGCTCCTATTACCTGACAAAGAAAGACAAGGCAGCAGAGGTTCCTGAAGGTAGCAGAGAGGACATACTGGAAGAACGGGCTGGCGGCGAGGCGCCGTAGTTGCATAGGGCTGTAGAGGTCACATTCTCCTTCTCAAAAACCTTTCCTGCATGTAAAGGACTCTGGGAGGACTGAGAAAGAATCATCTTCACTGATATTGTTAAGCTCAATAACTAGAATAGGTTTTCATGCTTGAATGCCCAAAAAACATTATATATTTTTCACATATTTTACATAGTTGCAGCACCTCTCTTTCCAGTCTGTCAGTAACGCTCAGTTTAGTTTCTGCCTCTATGAAGCCCCTCCTTCTGAACAGCGCAATGTGCTCTGATTGATTGGCTGGACCAGTGTGTTGTGATTGGTCAACTCCTTCGAGCGAGTTTCCGAAATGTCACGCACCTTACCATAACAGCGAGTTTTAACACAGAACTAACGCAACTCAACCAGACCTAGTCCCCTTTATTTGCGTAAACCTTGGAAGAAGCTTTATTTCCCGGAAGAAAAAACCCGCAGTGTTTCAGGGACTTCAGAAACAGTGCTTATTCATAAATAACTCCCTTTGGAGTGCTTTGTAACTTTTCAGACCTTTTTCATGCTCAAACAGCAACATTACACACTAAAGAAAGTTTAAAATGTAAAAAAAGGTCCTCTTTAATACAACAAACTGGACAGACAATATGTTAATTCAGTTCATTGTTCTAAATAAATAACTAAAAGTCTTTCTGACACTGATTTAAAAATGATGGCTGTGTGAACACTACACCATGAACATGAGTGTGTTTGATGCACTGCAGTCAGACACTATTATTACGTATTGCCACTACAAGCTGAGTCATATGTGCAGATGAAGTCATGAGCCTTCTTATATGTGTATCAGCATACAGGCGATGAATGAGGCTGCAGGGGCTGACAGGACTTCAGTCCAAAATCTAATATTCAGACTGAATTTTGCCTATGCTTGAGAAAACCATAGCTTGCCTGCAGTCATCCACATATCCAGAGTCACTCCCTGCCTTTATGTCTCATCAATGCTTTTATCCAGCCATGCGAAATAGGAGCCCCCTCTTTGCTCCCCTCCATTGGCAGAATATAACGCCAATTAGCACTGGGAGCAACCCTCGGGCAGAGACGGCAATATTGCCTCAACTGTTATTCTTTCCTCTGTCTCTTCTTTCTTTCTCTCACTTCTCTGTACTCTAGAGAGAATCTAAAATTTAATTATGTGCACATCTTATTTCCGCAGTTACGCTTTCCATTAAAACATGCCTGTCAGTGTTGTGTTTTCGCTATTTCAAATAAAATACTACAAAAAGCATCTCGTCTGCTTTTACTTCATGCAATAATCTTTTTTTTTTTATTCCACTTCAAGGACAGAGAATTTACCTTGGATGTTTGTGTAATGAAATGGAGCTGGACTAATGGACTAGGTCTGCCGTCAAGCTCTCGGTCAGCGTCGCATAAAGATCTGGTACTGAGTGCTTATGGAGCTGTCTGAGATGTTCACTCTCTGCCGCACTTTCATAATGCATTCTCGTTTCATCTGTATTTACGAGCGCTGTGTATGAATATTTCACTGGTCATTAAATATTACAGCGATATTGATCAAGCTTCTTTTTTTCCCTGACTGGCTTCTCTGTGGTATGGATAAAATGTGGGTTTAACCATTAACCAGAAAAGTTCTGTATCTTCTGTATCTGGAGAAAATCAAGGCTGATTAAAGGGTTGTATATCATAAGATGGCACACATGACGTGTGTCCTGGTAAGTCCTGGTGGGCAGACATAGCTATGTATATTTAATTGATATACTCTTACATTATGCACACAGATGGTGTACTGGATATAAAATATGAAGAGCACAGAAAGGGCTTCTTTCTTTAAATTATTTGGAAAAGGAATACATACATATGTTCACCAAGGCTGCATGTGTCACAAAATCATTCTGATATGCTGATTTGATGCTCAAGAAATTGTTAATATTATCAATATGCTTCTTATTATCCTTCTTATTATGCTTATTTTTGCAGAAACCATGATACATATTTTTCAGGATTATTTGAATAGAAATTTCAAAAGTACAGCTTTTATTTGACAAAGTCTTCTTTACTATTGGTTTTGATCAATTTAATGTATCATGGCTATACAATTGTTTATTTCTATCTAAAAAAACAAACACTTTTGAATGGTAGTCTATGTTTAGTATTATGAAAGTGTTCACCAAAAGTAGTTCAGCCTAAAAATGGGAATTCTGTCATATTTTACTCACTATCACAACGTTTTAAACTTGTATGGTTTTCTTTCTTCTGTGGAACACAAAATAATACAATTTGAAGAATGTTTTAACTGTTCTTGTCTGTACAATGAAACTCATTTGGGTCCAAAACAACACTGGACCCAACTACCTTTCAGTGTATGGACAAAAAACACTGAAACATTTTTCAAAATATCTTCTTTTGTATCCCACACAAAAAAAGAATGTCATACAGGTTTAGAACGACATAAGGCTGATTAAACGATGACAGGATTAACATTTTTGGGCGTACCAACCCTTTAAAGACTTAAAGGGCAAAAATATGATCAAATACATAAAAAAATGTTTGACCTACCTTTTGAGATATTGAATTGATTCCTTTACATGAAGACAGGGGCCACAGGGACTCCAAATGTTGACGTCCTTTAATCCAGCAATCCGGCCTTGCATTGCTGGGCCTCTGATGGGGGTCTGAGACAACAGATCGGTGGCTTGAGGTTCTGGGGAGCGTTTGTGAGCCTGAGTCAAGGCTTGTGGATGAGATGTTGGCAGTGGTAGGTGGAGCCCATATGGCCCGATCCTGGGTGAGGATTGTGCGGATAGCCTCCTGCTTCAACTGGCTAAAGTGAGTGGAGCAGACGCCACAGCGTCCGTCCACGTTGCCCCAGGCTTCTACAGTACTAGCAGGTGGTTTCATGCTCTCATAAAGATGAATGAAGACTTTGGGATCCTGAGGCACAGAAAGAAAAATGTTGTCAGTGACTGTTAACTCAACATATCAAAAACGAGTAAAAGTAACTACACAGATTATTAGTGAAAATTGCTAATACAGTACTAATCAAAGTTTACTTTAATTGTTTTATCCATACATAAAATTATAAATATTTTATGAAATTAAAAAAATTATATTATATAAATATTGTAACATTATTTTCAAACCACAAACCCCTCTGGTGACATGATAAATAATCACATCCTTCTTTCTTATAGGGATGGTTCACCCAAAAACGAAAATTGTGTCATCATTTACTCACCTTCTTGTTGTTCCAAATCTGTATGAGTTCCTTTGTTCTGTTAAACACAAAAGAAGATATTTTGAAGAATGTTGGTAATGAAATAGTTGACGGCCCCCACTGACTTCCATAGGGAAAAAAATACTATGGGAGTCAATGGGTACGGTCAACTGTTTGGTTACCGACATTCTTCAAAATATCTTCTTTTGTGTTTAACAGAAGAAAGAAACTCATGCAGGTTTGTAACAACAGTAGGGTGAGTAAATAATGCCACAATCTTCACGTTTTTGGGTGAACTATCCCTTTAAAAATCTCATCCCTCCTTTATCCTAAATTCAGTAAAATTGCTCAAACATCTTAAATTTCATGAAAAAAGAGGTCAGAGATTTTGAGTTTACTAAAAAAAGGACAAGAAAGGATCCACTAACCTATTTCTCCCCACCACCAAATAAAAAGACACATGCCAGCCGCAAATACATCTCTATCTCAGCTGATCACATTATAGTGTCATTTACTTTATTGTTCTCCTCTGTAGGAACTGAGTTTTCATATTCCATCCATTATGCCCCATATTCCAGTGCAATCAGGGCTAGACGAGTGTCACATGAATCTCAGACCAACTGCAAAAGCTAATCGATTTAAACTCGTTTCAAGGGAAGGGGGAAAAAAGCATGCGCCTCATATGTAATTGAAATATGAGACATACTCTGGCTGATGGGGACATGCATGCAGCAGTCCACCGGAGATACCACCCAACACAAGGGCATTTGGTCCACAACTCAAAATGCATTAAAATGCATGCTATTCCTTTCTAAATGCATGCAACTTGATGATAAAGAAATATACTTACTTTGGTAGAAAGGTTTCCGTCAATTACTTGTTTAAACGCTTCCCCTTTGAATATGTTGAAATGAGAGATGCACTTTTTACACAAATGTCCCGTGTCGAATAACGTCTCTCTTTTCGTCCCAGTGGACTTGATGGAGTTGTATTCAGGAGGGTAACCGTTTAACGATTCTTTGGGCCATTTTGACCGTGAGAGAGTGTGAGTGAGGGGTGTCGGGAGTGAGCCCGCGCACCCTGTCCAGGGTGCTGCATGGGAATCATATCCTGAAGAGCCAGCGCCTTCGGGCGTGGGACGCTCCTTCTGCGCTGCATGTCCCTTCAACACGGGACTCATTTTAACGTTGGTCATCTGTGAAATATACATGCAACCCGTGCTATATTCATTTTTAAGGATCTTAGGCAAATTATATATTTTAATATTTAAACAATTAAATATTAATCATATTGAGATATTATGGAATATAACTGACCTTACAAAAGATGCATATTACTTATATTCAATCACGAGGCACGCAGAAGTAGTCACCTACTTACCATAAACCGCTGACTGCCTGTTGTTTCACAATCTCCTGTTTGATTCTTCATATTCGCTCAATAAAGCTCCTATCCTTCACAACAAGTTTCCATTCGTTTCAAATAAAAAACTATTGTGTTTCATGAAAAATCCGACTTTACTTGGTTAAAAAAAATGTGATGTCCTAGTGGCACATGCAGTGATTTCGCGCACCGCGCCTTTATGTTGTTGCAACTTGGTGATCCGGTGAGTAGCGGTGAATATTTGATTTATATTTACGCATACACAAAAAGTCCTTGAATTAAATCACCCCCTGCGAGCTGTTATTTAAGTTGCCGTTGATTTTAATATTCTACTCCTTGTTAACTTTCCTTAGGAAAACTGTGCATGCAAGGCATATGATAAAAAAATCTATATTCGTCCTTGGGTTGTTGTTGGATTAGGTCTTCATCTTTTTTGTTCTCCGTTTACAGTACCACCCACTTGTCATTGCTCTAAGGAATAGATCACACTGTTGTGGTTACCGTATGTTAAGATTAATCATGAGATAGCGCCACCCATCGACCAAAATGTAGATCTGCAAACGGCAGTGCTGCCCACATGCGGATTGATTCAAGACACTGCAAACTTTGAAAATGAGTGTAGGCTATAGTGTATTTGCATCGTCACACAGCACAGCACAATAATTTTGAATGACTGTGTTGAATTATGCAGAATTGAATTTAATCAAGCATTGAATAATTTGTAAAATTTTACAGAATTATGTTTGAATTTCTGGGTATTTTGGGGGAAATATTTTAAATACATTTTGTTCAAGGTGTTTAAATCAATAGTTTTTCAACAATTAAAGGTAGGCTATAGTTCACCCACACATTTAAATTCTGTCATTAATTACTCCCCCTCATGCCATTCAAAACCCGTAAGACACAAATGAAGATTGTTTTGATTAAATCTGAGAGATTTCTGTCCCTACACGCAACTATACTTTGACGCTTCAAAAAGTTAGAGATCGTAAAACTAATCCATGAGCAATTAGTCCAAATTTTCTGAAGACCGATCGCTTTATATGATGAAAAGATTTAATTTAGATTTTTATTCACATTTAAACTGATCAACGGACATAAACAGAAGCTCAAACTGCAACGCACAAGAATGAACCTCATCGGCTTGCGGAAGCTTAAACATACGTAAAACACAAGAATGAACATTGGTTCTCACACGTCAAGCGAAAATGCTTGAGCTTCTGTTTACCACAACTGATGTGTGAGATAAAAAATGTTTATGTGACCAAAAGCCTAAAATCAATCTGTTCATCATATAAAGCGATCGCATCTCTTCGTATGATTTTTACTAAACTGCTCAAATAACTTGGATTAGTTTTACGATCCCTTTATGAACTTTTTGAAGCATCAAAATGGTAGTTGCATACAGTGGCGTAGGCAGAAATTGTATTTTGGGTGGGCCAGTGAAAATGTGACTGGGCCTATATTTTTGTCTAGAAAAAAATTACTTCAATAATAATAATTATTGAAAAATGACTTCAATAATAATTAACATTAATAGACAAACTGAAAAAACAGTTACACCTTTATATTCGGCAAATCATCATGTTCAACCAACAGAGCTCAATAAAGGCTGGACAAACCAGTATACACAATAACCTGTCTATTTTATTCTATTCAGCAGTGCAAATACAGTTCACCCGAAAATAAATTAAAGTAAGCTAAAATAATAATATCACAGTTAGATCGGCGGATAAACCCGCGTCAGGCTGACGGGGAGAGAGGGAGCAAGAAGCGGCCGGCGCCAGCACCTGACTAGCCTTCTCCTGGGGAAATGAGTCGGAAGAACTGGGCTGGGTGGACTCGGAAGATGAAGGCAGTGGCGTGTCTTCTTCCTCAACTCTTGCTTTTTTTCAAATAGCACATTAAAGAAAGTTGTTTAGCCATTATTGTGGCGCCGACGCCACTGAGAGTTTTC